TAGAAATCATTATTTCAAGTGCATGTTTAGTTGCTGATGTATTCACACAATACTATCCCTTTGTCTCTATTTAGAAACTGTCTACATCACGGTGAAGAGAGGCTTAAATTTTATACATACACTGCTAATGGTGAATCATCAATTGCTTTTTCAGTATTATGAATCTAAGCATATTACAGGTAGCTAATAGGCACCTAGCAGTGACATTGCCAGCATTGCCACTTGAGACAGAAGCATCAGGCATCCCTCTCAGACTTTGTGAGTGTGTCTTCTCTTCTGCCTCTTGTGGCTGGTGGGAGCAACATTGGAGTGTTGTTGGGAGGGAAGGAATGTGGGGGGGGATGGAAAAACTCCAGACAGGCTGGTGCTGGACTGGAAAATTGTGTGAAAACTGGGGCAAAAAAGCACCAAAGCCCTGTGCAACAAATAGGGGGGAAAGACTTGCAGGGGAAAAGCCACTTTGGGTGTACATGATGTGGAATGATTGTGGTTTCCTGATGACAATGCCCGGGGATGCTAGCAAGCTAGATTTGTGAGGGGGTGGCAGGCAGCTGCTTGCGGAGGTTGTTACGAAAAGATTTCACAAGCCCCTTGCTTTAAGTGCCCAGAAAGAGCATGGGGGGCAGGGAGGAGGGAAATGCTGGAACGGCTTGGACGGGGGGCAAGGGGGACAGGCAGCCCCTTTGCATGGCCTACAGTACTGAACCCCAGTGCCAAGCCTGACTTGTGAGGGGGTGGCAGGCAGCTACTTGTGGAGCTTTGCATGAAAAGATTTTGTGAACCCCATGCATCAGGCGCCCAGAAAAAGTGGGGGGGAGGGGGCAGAAGTGCAGGAACAGGCTTGGGGAAGCCCCTTTGTGTCGATTCCTACCTTAATTTCTAGATTATATATGTAGTTTAAAAGAAGCACAACAAACAAGGCAAAAATAGTCAACAGATATTATTTCATTAGTCCTATAGTCAGTCGACCCTAATGGGGTGCAGGGCCCAGGGCAAATCAGCATGTGCAGGGCCCCCTTAACACTGCATGGGGCCATGGTACCCCCGCAAAGGGGGGGGGGGGGCTTCATGCTTCTTCTGCAGCACAGGGCTGAGCTACCAACTCCGGGCAGGCCCTTCAGGAGGGGCTGCAGCTGCTTCGCCCAGCTCTGTGGGGCCCCCCAAAGCATGGGGCCCAGGGCAGTTGCCCCGATTTCCCGTACCCTAGGGATGACTCTGCCTGTAGTCATTATAGTTAAGTATATGTCTCTTATTCAGATGCATAAAATAAAATCTAGCCTTCTTGAGGATCTTGACAGTTCCTCCAATACTTGACTGTCAGTCATTTCTACACCTAAATGAATACCATACTAGAGTTAAAGTAGAGCTAAAGCCAAAAGCAGTCTGTAAGGCTATGAAGTAGAAGAAAGACATTATGAGGGATGGTTAGCAAACAGTAACATTGTAGAATAAAGGATAGTTTGAAGAGTGGGAATCAAGACCATTAAAAAGGATAGAGGGTCATTACCATCTTGTGTGGAGAGAGAAAAGCACAACAAACAAGGCAAAAAACAGTCAAAATAGTTAACAGACAAAATCTTGTCTGGGAAGATGTAGTTGGGGATGGTCCTGCTTTGAGCAGGAAGTTGAACTAGATGACCTCCTGAGGTCCCTTTCAACCCTAATTGTCTATGGTTCTATGACTAGCAGGAATCAGGGAGATAATGAGCTATGAAGTCAGATTACTTTCTCACCCTGGCTTAATAGAAATGATGTTGCTCCTCCCAGGCTGTTGGTTTTAAACTTTGGATGGATCAGGAATGAAAGTGAGGGTGTAGCTGCACCACTACATCCCCTTTGGATCCACCCTTGAATTTGCTCTTACTCATACTTTCAGGTTCCATATTCTCCCCATGCATTCTGTGCAGCTTCCAGCTACCTTATTCAGCATTGTCAATTCTACTAGACTGCAGAAACATTATATGCCACTGAGTATAAGTTCTATGATAAATCTAGACCGAGTTTAGGCAATTATTTCAGGACTGCTTACTAAGTTTGGTGAGCTGTTGAGGGCTGCAAGAGTAGCCCTGCCCCTTGACAGGTCCCCCATGCTCTGATTGCCATCCTGAGACCAGTAGTCCTGCCCCTAACCACTGACTTTTACAACCATAAGTCCCTCCCTTTGTCCCCAGAAGTACTCCTTTGGGGAGTGACGGGGGTGGGGTGGGGAGAGAGTTTGCCATCTTGGAACCAGAAAAAAACCAACAAATCACATGCTAAAAATCAAGCATCTACTATAACACATTTTAATTTTATTAAAAAAAAAAATTTTGTCCTGATTTACATGTTTGCATAATGTTTATAGTTGTGATTGCATAACTGCTCAAAAATAAAGTCTTACTCTGATATATTGTGGGGTGG